CCCTTATCTTCTGCTGGGGCTTTTCTTTTGTTTTTCATTATTGTTCTRGGCCACTGAAAAGCAACATCTCTCCTAATTTATAAATAAAGATTCAAAAGCTGCCCTTCAATCASGCACTGTGCGTTAAAACTTTTCCATGCATGCCTTCTGACCAAGAGAGCTAACTTCTAGGAATATGAAAAGTCATACAAGTGTGCAAAGATATAGGATGATAATCCCTATATCATTATAAATMACAGCAAGATTTTAGAAACAATCGAAACACTAATCAATTAGGATCAAGTTAAAGAATTTATGCTATTGCTGTATAATGGAATTCTATGTAGTCTTTAGAAGTGACAGTATTAATATATGTTGAATTGAAAAATATCTATAATTAATGGCTTTGAGAAATCATGGTGTTCAAAAGAAATTGAAGTTAGTATGTTGAAGAAACATCTGCACCTGTATGTTTATTGCACCTATGCTCACAACAGCCAACATACAGATGGAATCAATGTACACRTTCACCAACAAACAAATGAATAAAGAAAATGTGGCATACACACAATAGAATGCAATTTGGCTATTAAGAAAAAAGAATGAAATTCTTTCATTGACAATGATATGGTGGAACTGGAAGACATTATGTTGAGTGAAATAAGTCAATTACAGAAAGACAGATACCATATAGTCTCACTTATATGTGAAAGCTAAAAAGCTTACCTCAAAGAAACAGAGAATATATAAGTGTTTACCAGAGCCTGGGAAGGAGGTGTGAGAGGGAGCCATGGAGAGAGGTTGATAAATGGGCCCAGGGTTGGGTGGTACAGAAGGAATAACGTAACGTTCTATAGCACTGCAGGATGAATATGGTTGACAATAATTAATTGAATATTTTAAAATGGCACAGAGAATTTTTCTTTCTTTATTTTTTTGTTTTGTWTTGAAGTGCTARAAATAGAATACAGGGCATCTTACAAGTTTGGAAAGCACTCCACCATTGAGGTACACCCTCAAATCAGCAGAGAAAATTTTGAATATTCCTAACRTAAGAAAATGATAAATATCTGAGGTGAYGGAAATGTSAATTACCCTKATCTGATATGTTAAAATGTCACACTGTACCCCATTAATATGTATAATTACTATGTATATATTATATTAATATGTACACATTACTATGTGTCAATTAAAAATTTAAATGTTCTTTTTTTTATATTATGGTATTTKCCACTATGGTAGTTTTCACAGTAGTGCACATCAGCAACCCTAGCCACTTTGGAGGCTGAGGCAGGAAGATTGCAATTCAAGGCAGCCTGAATTGAGACCCTGTCTCAAAATAAAAATAAAAAGGGCTGGGGGTGTAGCTCACCAATAGAGCACTGGGTTCAATCCCCTGTAYTGGAAAAAAAATCATTGTGTTAATGGAGCAAGATTAAATKATTCCATTGACATATTTAAAATACACACATATATATGACACACACATTTATGTGTTTATGTGTGTGAATATATGTATATATATACATATATATGTGTGTGTGTATATATATATAATATATATATACACATACACACACATATACACACAACTTATATAGATATAAAATGCCAATCAGGATGTAAACCAGTAGTTATTTTGGTATAAAACAGTTGCTCATCACCCTTTTCTACTGTCTCCCCAGTAATTGCCATCTATTTCCATGAGYACCTCAATTTAAACATGGTCTGACCTTATGCCCATGTCCCTGCCTGAGCAYAAGACTTCCAGGTAGACAGGTCCTCTGGGACCTGTTTTCCATCTCACCTCTGCTCTTCCTTGACATATCCCTGTTTGTATTAGCGTTGCTCTTCTTTTGGTTTACATCGTCAAGTAAGGCAAAGTTAGTGCCTTCTCCCTTCTTTCCATCCTCAGTTCCACATACAGTTAGTTACCAACTGTGATGTTTAATTTTATTTGTCAACTTGGCTGGGCCAAATGATGCCCAGACATTTGGTCAAGAATTATTCTAGATGTGTTTGTGAGGGTGTTTGTGGATRAGATTTATATTTGAATTAGCAGATTGTCCTCCCAATGCTGTCTTCCTCCAATCAGTTAAAGAYAGGAATAGAAAAAAAGCCCAAGTAAGAGAACTCCCCCTGTTCAACTGTCTTATGCTAGGACATTGTTTTTTGCATCCTTCAGATTTCAACTGCAACACTGGCTTGGATCTTGCCTTTGGACAGGAACTACACCACTAGCTCTCCTTGGTTTCCAGCTCCTGAATGCAGATATTGGGAATTCTCATTCTTATTCTTCATAATAACGTAAGCCAAATCCTTAWAATAAGTCTCTTTTCTATCCATCCATTCATCCATCCATCTACCCATCCATCCATCCATATGTACATACACATGTATTGGTTCTGAAGAACCCTGACCATTACTCCAGTCCTGTGGATTCTTCTCCTCAGCATCACACAGCTCTTTCTATCTTGACAGCCACCATCTGGCTCAGGATCTTCTCTAATCTGCCTGAGCTATCACCATTGCTTCCTGCCTCCTGTACCCTATCTTCCCAACATCATTCTCACTGTTATAAGATTATTCTTCCAAAAGCCTTGTCCTAACTACAGAAATCCTGATGATTCTTTATTTCTTAAAAAAAAAAAAAAAAAAAGCAATTCCAGATCCTTAAGACAAAAATCAGAGTCCAGCATGATTCAGCCTCAACATAGCTTCCAGTCCTTCCTCCCATCATTTCCTAATGTTTAGGGAAACTGTACCACACATCATTTTCCCATATTTATAGTTTTACTTACTTTATTTTACCCAGTTATCCTCCATCCTCTAATAACTACTTATCTAAAATCCTACTCCTCCTTGAAATGGAGCTATCCCTACTGAAAGCCTTTTACAATAGCCCAAGATGGAAGAGTCTCTTTCTTTTAAATCCATGACTTTTCTTATATAAGTTTCAAATTTTGCTTGTGCTATATTTATTTGTATATGTTTTTTTTTCTCTYCCCTTATCCTTGAGGGTGGGAACTATATCTCATTTATATAAATGAATATTATCCCAAGTGAAAATGAAATTTGAAAGTAAATGCAGCATCAAACCCTGACAATACTTCTAAACTGAGTCTAAAAGACAAGCTACCTGGATTTGTAACAACAACAACAAAAAAAAAAGCGCTTTTTTTTAAAAAAGTCATTTGTCTACAGTATATGCAAATCTCTTAGGTGCTGTTTCTTAGCTCTGCTGTCCATTAGAATTACCAGGAGAATTTTAAAATAAAATTTAAAATAATAAATTAGAATTACCAGGAAAATTTTAAAATAGCCTCAACCCAGGCCAATTAAATCTGAAGCTCTTGAGTGCGGTCTGGGTTTTTTCTGTGTAGTCAGAGGTGAAAACAGGACATAAGGATCTTGGTTTATATGTGGGAATGAACTTCTGTTGATAAAGGAACCATTGATCTTTAGTTATATAAAAAGGTGAGGCAAGGCTTAACCAACTCTGCAAAATAATACCAATAACTAACATTTATAGAGCACTTACTCATTAATACTTCTGATGGACTATAAAGTAAGCACTATTATTTTGTACATTTTATTAATGAGTTATCTGAGGCTCAGAGAAGTACTGTAATTTACCCAGATAAGTAAGTAAAGTAGCCAAGACATGAACCCAGATACTCAGGCTTCAGAGCAACATGGAAGGGGACTTGAAGCTCCTTGACTTGTGAGTGTATGCGCTGGCATGTGTACCTGTTGGAGGTGGTAATGCATGCATACGTGTATGCGAATGAGGCTTTTTTTCTCACAAAGACCAAACACAGGGATTGGAAGGGCACAGTTTGCAGGCTGGAGAAAAAAAAGAAAGCAAAAGACAATTGTGATAGAAGAAAAGAGGAGCTTTGGGACATGGTAGCATTCTGGGTCCAAGGAGAAAAAATATTAGTAAGGGACTCTTGGGAGAGAGTAGAGCCCATGGGCTTCAGGCATTGTAAATTATGCTTATAAGTCCTTCCTTCCTTCCTTCCTTCCTTCCTTCCTTCCTTCCTTCCTTCCTTCCTTCTTTCCTTTCTTCCTTCCTTCCTCCCTTCATTTCTTTCTTTCTTTCTTATCAGGCTTCACCTAAGTTAGAGGTACCTTGGGGAAATACCCACAAGGAGGTTGGGCAGTAAAAGGGTGCTGAGCTCTCCATGCAGTTTCTCCTTGAGGCCAGAGTGGTGGGCACTGCTAGTCCAGAATCCCAGAGTGACCAATAGTAAAGCAAGTGTGGACTGAGGAACCAGGCAACACTGAGAACAGATACAAAATAGACTGAAGCAGAAAATGTACTGAGATCAAACCCCTTTCCCCAAACATAACGGAAGTAGCAGGTTCTGGTTAGAGGGGAAACTGGAATCTACTATCCAGAGAGTGGCCATCTGGGAAGTCAACTGTGCCACTCTGTGCCATAGTTATTGATACACAAATATAAAGAGAAGTTATGAATGTGGACTCAGGAGATGTGATGCCTTGGAACCAAGCCACATCCCAGTTCCCTTCTCCAGGTCCTGATTGCAGAGGGCAGGCTTACCTCGACCTTTGTGGGAGTTTGTCCAGATGGTGTAGTGGGAGTTTGGGGAGCAAAAATACTCCTAAGATTGAACTACCAAACCCACATTTTACTTTTTTGGACCTCAGTTTCCCTAAATGTAAAATAATAATTAAAATACTGGCTTCTGGGGCTGAGGTTGTGGTTCAGTGGTAGAGTGCTGGCCTCGCATGGGTGAGTTACTGGGTTCGATCCTTAGGCACCRCATAAAAATAAATAAATGAAAAAAAAAGGCATTATGTCCACCTACAATATTGGCTTCACGTTGTTATTGTGGGAATCAACTGAGAAGCCACCGAGGAGAGCTGGCCCAGGGCTTGCATGTAGCAGGTGCTCAGCTGAATCTCCTTTGCTCCCCTGGCCTCCCCCCATACCTCACCCACAAACTAGATCCCAGGATATCTTGGGAAGAACTTGAGAAGTCAGATCCTACCTTTGGTTAAGGAGTGAATCCCCAGCTTGACTTGGGAAAAGTTTCCGCTTCCAATTTCCCCTCGGATTCGGTAGAAGCCTATCCGTTTCCCCAGTGTGATCTCCCTCACCACCTTCTCATCGTGGGACATGTCCTGGGTCAGCTTCTCGAAAGGTGTCAGCTGGCGGGGCTGTCTCTCCTCACCCTCCTTGTTGCAGTCTGTCTGACCACTGCTCTCCGCGCTGTCTCGCCGCTCCCACCTGGCACTGTGGGCGTTCACCAGGCCACCTCCGTTTGCATACACTGMGGTCATCGTCCTCGCGGGTTCACGTCTCCATCTCAGCCAGGAGCAAGGCTGGTTCCAGAGGCGGCAGAGGCCCGGTGGGTGGGAAATGAGAACTGAGGCTCACAGGACTTCAGTRTCCCACACAGCTGTCCTGGGAGCTGGCAGAAACTCCTTGCTGAACAGCTTCCYTCCCAGCCTCAGTGAGAGCAGACAGAGGCTGTCCAGCCCTTCCCACCTTCCCTGGCCGTGAACTTCCAAGCTTTACTGTACAACTGGACACACGTCCAGTTACCATAACTCTTCCCAGATGGGACTTGAGGAACTTCTGGCTGGACGTGGAGGATGCTGTTTTATAGTAGGTGGCTGCGTCCTAGGCTCCCGTTTGCTATTTACGGTGATGGCCAGGAAATCTTGCACAATGGTGTGTAAAAGCCCCTCCAAGGCCCTCAAGTCCCTGCTGCTGGTGCTTATCTCTGACCTGCTTCATTTTGTGCTTCTCTATGCTCTTAAGTCATAGGGCTCTGGAGACTGATAAGCTGGACCCCAGGAAAGAAGAATCTTGCAAATCAGCCTTAAGTCACAGGRCAGCCAGAGGATTAAATCCTTGCAATGTCACTTTAGCTGGCCTTTATTTAGATGAGCCTTCCTCTAAGCCCTGAGCTGTCTCAAAAATTTGGCAGGTGCTGTCTTATCCTGAAAACACAGTAAGAAARTGATTAGCCCATGCTAATGTACTGTACAGGATTTATAGTAAATGTGAAACTGCTTTGTGAACATTCATCTAAATGCACTCAGCAAATTTACTCGATAAYACACACTTGATTACACATGACTTAGTAAGAAGAAAAGTGTACATACATAAAGTCCTTGATCTACATGTAGGAAAGCCCGMATAGTCTGTAAATCTTTCCAGCAAAACAGTAAAGTTTAGGGAAATATACATTTTGCATTGGGTGGCTTCAAAACCATATTGTTAAAAAAATGATAGCAATAATGACAAAACAATTCTCTATTAACCATCAATTGTAAAAATTTCTTCTATTTATGTGAATAATAATGTTATGTATCCTTTAATACCTTAGTAACTTCTTGTACAAATTTTCTCTACCATTTGCTTCCATTCTTTCTTTCTTTGTTATTCTATGTCAAAAGCTAGTTTTTTCCTAGCTTYATTTTTAAAATATTTCTGATCAGGCGTTAACATTCCAGGGCCTGCACTTTATTTTGAAGATATGGAATGGAGGGTGAACAGGTCTACAGCATTATCAGTGATAAGAAATGCTGCCTGGCTAGAATGTCTTCTAGACTTTTTTTCCCTACACTCCCTGGTAGGAAACAATCTGGATCCTTAGAGCACTTTGTGTGTTTTATGAAATGTCAGATCTCCATGAAGGTAGAAACTGGGTTTAAGTCAATAGCATGTCCTGCTTCCCTCCTCTCTCGCTCTGCAAGGAGTGTGATGTCTTTTGYATAGAATGTACTTGTTAAATGTGTGTTGAATTTGATTTTTAGATATGAGCATGTTTTAACAAAAAATCTGGCTGAAAACATGAGAAATTGCCTTGGAAATGTGGATTTCCAACTCTGCTTGATGAAATCACATAATTACAGTTAAGAATAGGGTTGCATATATTATTATTATGGCAAAGTATGGGGTTGCCAAATAAACATAAATATGGAAAGTTAAGAGGAGGTCGATGCCAGTTATTGTTCCTATTTCTGGAATTTTTGGGAGAAGAATCCAGAAGGATAAAGGGACCATGAGCAGTGACTAAAACATCTCTGGATTAGAGTTTGGTTAGGGTGTTTTTTTGTTTGTTTGTTTTTTGAATTTTTAATATTTATTTATTTATTTTAGTTTTCGCCAGACACAACATCTTTCTTTGTATGTGGTGCTGAGGATCGAACCCGGGCCSCACGCATGCCAGGCGAGTGCGCTACCACTTGAGCCACATCCCCAGCCCTTGGTTAAGGTGTTTTAAAAAAACATTTTAAAGATAAAATATCTTTAGTTGGGTTGAAGAAATCTAAGTCACTAATTTGAAATTGTCCTTGGGATCACAGGCTCCTTTAAAATTCTAACAAAACCTATGACCCACACACTCACACAATCTCACTCAATTTTAAAGGGTTCACAAATACTTTGAAACTCAGCTGAAGATCTACTTCAGGTCAAATCCTACTAGATCTCCGGCAAAGACATGTAGAGCTATGGAAGTAGTCAGTGTAGAGCACTTGTCCAGGATGCAGGAGGTCCTGGGAGCCATCCTTAATACAAAACAAACAAACAAAGCATTTAAAGAGATCATGCAATAAAAGTCTAGAAGTGCAGTACCATTAATGTCAATCTTGATTCTGAAAGAAACTTTAACTTAACCTACATAAAAGGAGAAGGAGGATTTTTGACATAATGCAGTGCTGGGTTACCTCCTGATCTTGGCTCAGAATTCTCAGCTCTGAGTCCTCTCTGAGCACCTCACCCCTATGTTGTCTTTGTCACTGACCTGTTGCATGTCACTTAGATTAGCACCTGGAGGGCAAGAACCTGTACCTTATTCATCTGTCTCCAAGTCTGCACAGTGTCTGACATTTATTTGATAGAAGTTTGTTGAAAAAGGAATGGAATAATATAGCAATTTGTTCACTATTACCTTTAGGTATGACTTAGTAGTGGTAAATATTTTTATTTGTAAACCAATAACACTACTCCAATACTTACTTTATCTCAGAAAACTTATTTCAGCCCATATTTCCAACATCTGCGCTACTGTCTATAAGCTATTAGGATTCTTGGCTCCACCTTTTTGTGCAGGTAAAAGATTAGACTGAATTCCATCGTCTGGCTGAKAATTGCTGCGGAACTCCTTAGAAATCCAAGTGTCTCCTTCCTTGTCCCTTTCAAAGGATGAGCTCGCCTCAAGCCCTTAGGCCTCATATTTCACTATACCTGCTTGTCCAGACTTGTTCTTTGCTTTCTGGCTCCCCTAACCCTTCCAATTCCATTCTTAAGTTCCATGCAGGCCCTCTTACAATGGGTGAGACTTGCTATTCTGATTAACTTCTGGAACCACCCAGGAGCTTTTATTCTCCCCTCCCAATTCCACACTAAGGGAGAGATCCAATACAATTGCCAAAGATGGTCAGGCTCCATCTTGGATTACATACCCTACACCCACAGATTAAATTTCTTGCCAAATGTTCTGAACCAGTTGTCTTGCCTTAATGGTCAGGAAGACAATGTTCAGTTTAGATCAGATTTAGGGGTATTTGTACTTCTGTAAATCTTGTTGTGGTTTGTCTTGAGGATAATCTTAACTTGTTGGGACAGCTAGCAAGCCAATTGGGGGAAAAAACTGAACCTCTACTCCAAATCACATTCCACATTAAATCACTGTAAAATAAATGAAATCATAAAATTTTATTACCCAAAAAAATATCAGAAAATTTTCTGTCACCTCAGATAAATCCATAAAAGAAAATATCAAGCTTGTCTACATAAAATTATAACTTTTTGTTTGCCAAAGTTTTCATGAACAACAACAAAAATCAAATGGCATGAAAAATAAAACAAAAATATGTAAGGAAAACTTTCCAATATATGATAGACAAAGAGCTAATTTTCTAAATAAGTAATAAATAAAATGTATAAATTCTTGAGAAAAATACTAATATCCCAGAAAAAAAATGATAAAGAACATGAACAGATATTTCACAAAAAATACAAATGGCTCTATAACACATAAAAGGACAAACTCACTTATAACCAAAGAATACACATAAATACTACCCTTAAATTTGAATTTTCACATATTAAWTTTGAAAAAAACTGTCATAGTAGTGCATACCTGTAGTCCCACTACTTGGGATCATGGGGTGGGAGGACTGCTCAAAACCCAAAGTTCAAGACAAACCTGGGCTATATATTAAGATCCCATCTCAAAAAAGAAAAAAATAAAGAAAGAGAAAAAATTGTGATAATACGCCGATGAGAGAATGTTGGGAAACAGGAACTCTCATTATTGTTACTAGGACCATACCTTGGCACAACTGTTAGGGGGTAATTTGGCTATCAATATTAAATTACTAGTGTCCTTTACCTCAGCAATTCTAGAATTTACCCCACACATACACATATGCACAAAGACTTATGTATTTCTGACATAAAGGTGAATAGATATTCACTGTCACATTGTTTTGTAGTAAGAAATCAGAAACTGTTTAAATGTGCATAGGTAAGGAACTGTTAAATATATTATACACACATGGTGGGTTACTATGCACTCTTGCAAAAGAATGGGTTACAATATCCAAGATACACTGTTTAAGAGGTCAGAAGAATGTGGATAATGTGTTATCAGAAGTGTAAGAAAGAGCTGGGTGCAGTGGCACGTCTGTATCCCAGTGGCTCAGGAGGCTGAGGCAAGAGAATCACAAGTTCAAAGCCAACTCCAGCAATTTAGCAAGACCCTAATCAACTTAATRAGACCCTGCGTCAAAAATAAAAAATTTAAAAAGGGTTTGGGATGTGGTTCAGCGTTATAGCAGTCCTGGGTTCAAACCCTGGTACCAAAAATAAGTGTAAAAAGAAGTGTAAGAAAGAGGAGGACATGGGCTAGGGTTGTGGATCAGTGGTAGAGTGCTTGCCTATGTGTGAGGCACTGGGTTTGATCCTCAGCACCACATAAAAAATAAATAAAACAAAGGTCTATCAACAACTAAAAAGAATTTTTAAAAAAAGAAAGAAAGAAAGAGGAGGACATATCTAAGAAACTGGCATAGTCATTACATCTGAGGATGGCTATCATTGAAATGGATACTAGGGCAAAAGAGAGGTATACTATTCATTATTTACTCTTTCATATGATATACTTTTTTTCCCAGCAAGTGTGTGTTTACCTGAAAAATAAAACAAAAATATGTAACATGTTACCCCCTTGTATAGTTGGTGTCCAAGAAGTTTGCTTTACTTCTAGCTATACAGAAAATTGCCATACCTGATTCTTTAATGCCTAATGGGTTACTTTTTAAATCAAAAGATGATTACGGATTTTTGGTTAAATGCAGAGAATTTGATATTCTCACTAATTTCTAGGAAGAAACAGAAAAGGGTGTCTGTTGAGAAATAAAGAGTTTAGGCCAAAGGCTAAGATGATGCA